TGCGCCTTTCCGACGGGGTCATGCGTCCAAGGTGCCCAATACACCTCGATGGCCTATTGAACCGGTGACCATTGCCACAACCGGAGAGGTGCGCGTGTGGTTCCTACACCTCTTCTTGGTTGGTTTGGAATCAGGGAATTTGACCAACTTCCCTAAGTGAACTACCAGTGGTTCACCAACCCGGTTATGGCCCCGAATGTCGGCTTTTCGTCCTCTCACTTTAGTGCGAAAACACCTCCGCCACGAGAAGGCAATGAGTTGGGTTTCTTCAGCAGAAGCTATTTGAGACCCATACTCGTACGGGAGCATTTTGCCAGATGCAAGGGCAGGTAGATCATCCGCAACCATAAACAGCCACCCCCGACCATACTGAGGATTTCGGAGCCATGGATAAGTCTTTCTCGCAGTGCTTCGCCATAAATCTACCAGGATTGGCTAAGCCGTGGTCATGGGTTTCGAAAGCTGGGGTTTCCATGTGCCAACTCTGTGGACTGGTTTAAGGGACCAGAATAGTGAAACATCTGCAATTCGCAGAATGCCAAACAGTAAGCTTCCATCTATGTTTCTTCTTGTCTCATATTCCCTCATGAATAGCTCCTCTCGATACATTATCAAGAGCCAGCCTCTGGAGGATCTTGACTTAGCTTTCCTGTTCGTGGTTGCTGGAAGTCGCGTCTTCGGCGCAAAGCTATGGTCTGCGTTTCTTAGCCCTATCACTATCCTTATTTTTCGATTCAAGCCTTTTAACAGCCCCTACATGTTGGTTCTTGCAGATTGCAGATGGGAGTAGAAGTAACTGATACACACCCCGTGTGTTCATTTTGCAAGTTCCTACAGTCAGATGTCAGACAAATTTAAGTCTCCTGGTCTTACAGCTTGGAGTTTCTTGTCAGAACTAAATGCTTTCGTTGATGATCCCTATCGTTTCCCTGCTTAGCGGTTGAACTCCCTACCAGCAACGGCCCATAACTCCTCATTGAACACACAAACTAAAGGTAATTCCCTAATGAATCGGTCGTCGTGCAGGATGATCAATACTGCGTTACCCATTGAATAAAGCAGGGTGGATAGGGATAAGCGGGCTACCGCTCAGATATCTCAAACTTTATTGAACTCTTTTTCGTCCATATCCTACCCTCTCCCTTTACTCCTTCCTACCCGTACTAATCATCCGAAAACCTATTTGCCACTCGCCAAGCTCGTTGCTTAATAGCCCTGTAAGTAGTTTACGACCGGATAAATTGCAGATTCTGAAGCCTCATCAACCTTCAAAACCCGGCGGGCTGTATTGCAGGTAGGTTTATAAACGCATCTTAAGCTGCATAAATCTCAAATTGGCAGATACCTTGCTACTTGGGATAGTACCCCAGTCGGATAGAGGAAATCTTCGGGTTAAGCAGAGCTGAATGCTACCTGGCACGTCCCCAGGGGATACCTTCACCAAAAGTTAGCTGTGAATAAGTTGTACATACCGCAACAAATAAGCAGTTACGAACAAACAGCGGCGGCACTACCAGGGTGTGGTGGATTTCAGGCTGGTCACCTGGCTTCTGTCTAAAAGCCACATCAGCCCAATTACGGTGTCGTGACAAAGGTCGATGTGGCTGGCCTTTTAAAACTAAAGACCCCATCACTTCAGAGCCGAGGGCTTACTTCCTGCTGCCTTGCAGTTCGCACTTGGTTGTGCAAAGGCTAGAGGTGCGGCCTCAAGATAAAAACCGCCGAGTGATTCTGAGGACGTCTCTCATAGCAAACTCCGAAGGAACGTCATGATCATGTCTGGAGTCGACTTATCCTTTCCAAGGGGCCAACCGCAGTAAAGTAAAGTAAGTAAATCTTCCTGGTAACGGTATCGGCGACACTCAAGTTGCAAGTTTGCACAAATAGGCCAGAAGAATATTGGGTGTGTCAGTTCAAACATCTTTTAGAAGACCATTGGTTTCTATATACTGTGAAGGCAAAACGGCAATACGGTGGGTTTGCCTTTCGTACCATTATAGAACTGGCGAATATGAAAGAGTAATTGAGGGATTCTAGACAGACACACACACGCATATATATATACATTCAACAAAACCAATTAAATATAATTGCCAAAATGCTACAACTTTTGAAGAAAAAATCTGTGGAAAGTGTTCATAGGTTGTGTTTGCGTGTTACTCCATCACAATGAGA